AAAGTTAATTGGTTATTTCCGTTTTTGGTAAAAAAATTCATAAAATACTTAGTGAACTTTCAGTGAGTCTTTCTGAACAATAACAAATTAACACTAATTTTAAATTTTATAAATAAATGTTTTCAGAGTATAAATAAAGTTTATAATTTAATTAAAATCGCTTTTTTCATTTTAACGCCATCTGAACTCCTTCAGAAAAACTGATTATTGTTATCTAATTTTAATAATTAGATTTATATAGAAATAGATTATTTTAATAGTAAAATGCATTGGCAATACTGTATGGCCAGTGTAATATTTTTCTTAGTGATAAATCATAATTTCTAGTCCATCACAGTTTTAAACTTAACCTGAATTCAAATAAACATAGTTTTTTACCTTTTATTTGTTATAGAAAAAATCGAGCGCATTTAAATAACAAAATAATAAAATATATTTAAAGTGACATACTGAAATTCTCTTATTTTTAATTTTATTATACAATTATGTAGAATCACATTCAAAATAGTGTTTTTTTTTTTGGTTTGTGTATGTAATAATGGTGTGAAAAATGTTTTTGTTTACTATAGTACTTGCTTAATTCTATATAAGATGCGTGTAGGTTTTTGTTAACATAAGATTTGTTTTGTTAAGTAAAATATTCGGAGAATACTTAATGTTTAAAGTTCAATAAAATAGAAATAAATATTCTGGTCACACAACTTTTTATGTTTTATATAAGAAATTCATGGCAATTAATCTTGAAAATTTTAATTTTAAATTATATTAACTGATTTTCTATAAGTATATCTAACTGATTTAAAATTTTACATTTATTTTTAATTATATATGCTATTATTCTGTATTTTGTAACTTTGTTCTCTTAAGAATTAATTGTAATTTTGTTATGCGGATACATGATAATTACATTATTTAAAAAAAAAACATTTTATTCATAATAGCCTAATTTAAAATTATTAATATTTTTTATTATCAATAAAAGTATTTGGAATTAATGAAAATATTTCGTAATCTTGCAAGGTAATTTATGAACTCTGATTATATTGGCGTTAATGATAATTATTATTATCACTGTTTGGCTATAATCAAGGTATGTTAATTAGACTACATAATTTATAATACTAAAAGAGTTATATTTTTAATAAAATAATTTAATGAGTCAAATTCTTATGCTGGTTCGGAATTTGATTGTTCTATATTTGTTACAATAACGGTGAAAACCTTATTACCAACTTAACTAATACAGGGGGGTTGCGATTTCAAGAAATGAAAAGTGAATATTAATGGATGATTTTGATTTTTGAATAATTTTAGAAAACTGCATCGAATTACTTAATATTATTGTTTTTTCTAATATTCTTCGAACTTTATTTTAGATTCTTTCTAAAAATTTGCCAAATATGCTATAAACGGTTTGTTGATTGCAGAACAATTTCCCAAAAATTATGGGCTCATTTAGATTGTCATATTTGGATAGACATGGTCGAAAAATACAAAATAAAATTATTTGAATTTTTTACTTATTTGATATTATAGAACCTTAAAGTTTTCAAAGATTTGATAGAATTTCTATACTTGCGTCGTTCATTAATCAATAATAATACAATATTAAAAAAAAATTGGTTGTTATCTGGAGAATTTGTAGGTTTTTCTTATCTATGTATACACATATTACTTTTTTTTATTACATAGTTTTTATGTCTTATGTATATTCTAATTGATAGCGATAATGTATAGGTCAAGTATAAGAACAACTTTTTTTGAATTTCTATTAGAAAATATTTTAAATTATATAGTATAGCAGTTAGATAAAACATATTATTAAAATAATTTAATAAATGGAAACGAAGTTTGATTAATCATTTAATTACTATAATTGAAAAGTTTTTTAAATTCCGCAAATTAGTAAATTAAACGTGCATATACTTTATCTCTGCAAATTTCTTGGGCATTTCCTAAACAGGTTTATATTAAACTCCTTGGATACATTTGACGACTCAGACTCGTCATCTACTTGCTTGCTTGGATGACGAGTATAAATCGTCATTTGATTTAAAACTCTGACAATATTTTAATAAAATATTTTTGATGGAAAAAGTTTCAAAGGATTGTATACGGCCCCTGGTCCTTATGTTGCCGATTTCAAATTTAAAGTATTCATATCTAGGTTTAATAAATTAACCTTTTTTATTGTAATCTCCATAGGTGTTCTATTTTTTCTTGGAAAAATTCCTTTTCTGGACATGAGAACTTTATTTTTATTTTTGTTTACAAATAAGTTTGATAATTTGTTGATAAGTAAATAAACTTTACGAATAAATAAAAATATTAATAATTATGTTAAAATTAATGAAAAAATTATAGCGATAAGAATAGTACTATAGAATTGTAAAATGCATGAATAACAGTTTAAATTTGTGAAAACTATTTTATGGTATCATTTTCATAATCATTAAGTAAATCTTGAAAACAAAGTTTCGAATTAATATTATTGGTTTTTTAAATTTAATCAATTATTCAATGAATTGTAAATAAATCACTAAATTTGATGCATTAAATTAAGAAAAATAATTGAAATTGATTATGATAGCGTTAATAGCGGAAATAAACAAGTTAAATCGTAAAATAATTTCATTCAAAAATTGCATACGTACCACGATTCTTAATATATTTTTGCTATATACTTACATTGCTAACGGTGCAAAATAAAATATATTATAATATTGTGCACCGTTGTTGATAATTGTTAAGTACTTATGTTAATAAAGCGCACAGAAAAACTTGAATCAGAAATACTATTTCATCAACTTCTTCCTTCTCATTTTTTTTACTGACCACATTGGATACAGTTAGGGAGGTATTACGATCAGACTAAATTTCGCCCCTCAACTCAATCAAGGAAGGCTTTATGTTTGAGAAATGCAAAATACTAAATTTTTAACAAGATTTTACTAGGAACTGAATTCACATTTTTGATCATGTTTAAAAATATAATCAACAGATTTTCTTTAAATTTTAATTTTATTTTCATGATCCTTGAGTGTACTCTTCCAAATTCCAATCTAAATGTGTCTTGGAAATAATTGAGCAAAAGATATTTTTACATTTTGTACAATGCTTCCGATCCAGTACCAAAAATGAACTTTTGAATTTTAAAATTATTCATCAGAAAATATAATCATACAATCCGATTATGCGTTGACCACGCTAAATATTTCATTTACTTGCAAACGTCATTTTAAATCAAAAGAAGGTTACGAAATAAATAAATTAAGTTTAAATTATAGGTTAAAATTTACCAGAATGCTGCAAAAGCAAAAATGCAAAAGTTGAAAGAAATGAAGACAAAAAAAATTTATTAACTTGTTTTTACTAGTAAAATATGCTTTTAATTGCTTGTTTTACTGAGTAAGTACAAGTTGCTTATTTGACTCATTTAATAATTTTGGACTTTGGTTAAAGCTGTATTAAAAGTGGAAAATTATCTTTTGATTCGCGGTTTATTCGCGTATGTAATTAAGAAGTATTTCTTTATTTATTTGGAGTCAAATAAAGCGTAAAAAAATAATAAATTTGATATAGTAAATGGCCAAATTGAGAGATTGCGTTAAGTAGGGCAGATTGAGGGCGACGCTACGGAAGGGAAAAGAAATGAAATTTATCTAGCAAAATTTAGTAAAAATGTTAACTGATTTAAAAAACCAAATTTCAAAGTATTTTAACTTGCCGAAGAAATAATGTTACAAAAAATTCAAAATTTCTTGTTATCATAAGTCAAAAACTATAGACTCTTTTATGATTTTCAAGGGTTATAACTTGTGGCGTTATTATAAAAATGGTTGCTTATTTGTTTTTTTTTTTTGAATTTCCGAATTTTATACCCGAATGACCACTCTCATCATTTATAAAAATTCGAACAATTCTCGTCATTTTTAAAAATTCGGAATGGGGAAATTCGAATAAAGTTACAGACGACCGGATCTGATGGAACTTTTAGGCACATTTTCGGTAAAAAATATTCATGGAAAAAAACCCGTTCAATAAAAATAATATTAACTTTTTGAAATATGTGTGTGCGACATTAATTTTTTAGTAAAGCTTAATTACTTTTTATTTTTGTATTCAATCTTTTGATTAAAACCAAAAAATTTTACGATTTTTAAACCGTTAATTTTCAATTATTTCACAAAGTTTGAAGTTTTTAGATAAATTTTTTCTTCTTAAATAATTTTTATTGAAAAATTTTCAACATTTGAGTGAAAGTTATTGTAAATTGTTTTGGATATTATCAAATATTATTTTATAATCGAAAAAATAAGTGTCGCATAAAAATTGTGCCTAAAATTAAAAATATTTTTCATGGTGAAATTAAAGGTCGCTGTAAAAATAAAAAATCAATGTTTTTTTATATTTATGAGAAAAGGTTGTAAATAAAAAATTAAGCTACAATAAATGTGGGAATAAAAAATATAAGTACAAAATCTACTTAAAATATAAAATAAAAATTATTTTTAAAATGGCATTTTGTAGTTTTACTTCGATTAAATCCGAATTAAATAGAACTATGATATATACAATGGGTATCCTAATATATTTTTGTTAATAAATTGTGAAAAATTCAGAAAATTTTACTTAGAAAATGTTAGAAAAGAGATAAGCAAATGTGGTTTATAATTAATTAAAATTTTATAATTATATTATGTTCGCATTCTAAATGGTGAGGGAATTGTGTAACTTCTTCCGAAAATTTGTTAATAAATTGTTTATATAAATTAATTTTTAGTTTAAATATGTAGTTTAAATCCATCTAAAATTCCGTCTAAATTGTATTAAAAGTTGCAAAATTTCTTCTCATAGAAAATACAATTGTTTCTAAATTTATTTATTGCTTTTAGATCATAACTATAATTAATCATGTTATGTATAAAAATGAATTTTTGAATTAATTTAACAAAGTTATATAATATTTATATATATATTTAATTTTTTTTTATTTACAGACTGCCATAATTTATTACAAAAACATCAACACTAAATAATACGCCTATATTACTGCAATCTAATATTTAACTACACTTCTTCACCATTTCATCAATTGGAGTTCTACGATCACAAAAAAAAAAAATTTATGTAAAATAAGCATCTTTAACTTAAAATTAAACGGGAAATAAGATAAGGAAACAAATTTATTTTAGCCGTCCAATATAAAAATAAAATTAAAGGTAAAAGAAGAAAAGAACGGAGCCAATTTTATAGGTGGAAAAAATGACGAATGCACAAAGTAAATGTCTTCCAATTAAGATAACGTGTCATGAATATGTACATCCATGGACAGAAAGTTGTTGGAATTCAGCAGCTGGACAAATTTTACATTCTTTAGGAAACAGTTCGAAAATTTATACAATAGTTTATATGGTAAGTAACAGTAGTAAGTGTTAATGTTAAATTAATGTTGTAAATTTTTAATTGTTTTATGCTTAATTGTTACATAAAATTCTTTAAATTTCTCCTTATTTCATTGTTTTAGATTTAAAAATTTTATTTTCGAAAAATCTATTTAAAAATATTTTATATATGTTTAAGTATATATGTATTATAAAAGCCCCCACCATAAATTTTAAATGGGCTTGTCTTTTTAATTGAATAAAAATTAAATTATTTACTTTTTTAACTTTTCATAATGAAATTAATTTTAAATTCGTGTTTTGTTTTGATTTCGCATACTTAAACCCTTTATATGTCATTTAAAACAAAACAGAAATTTATAAACAGTCGCTACAACATCAATGGAAAAGCTGATAAACTACATACATGTGAGAATGTACACTTTAATGGGTGTCGTAAAGGGACCAATAAAAAAACTAATCGGATTTTATTGTACATTGTGTACTTAGCATATTTAAACATAGAAAATTCTATAAAATTTTTCTTTGAAATTTTATTATTTCTTTTTGAAAATTTTTTGTAAGTAGCTACTCATTTTGGTAATTTGTCAAAGTAAAAAATTAATAATCGCATTTCAATAACGAAAAATAATGAAAAATATGTTTATATTTTTGAATGTGAACTTATACAAGAGTGTTTCATGTAAACACACATGTACAATTAATGTTTAAATTTATGAATTAAAAAATCATCAAAAGCAAAATGAAGCATAATGTAGTCTGAATAAAATTTCATTCAAAAAAAAAGGATGGTTCAATTAGGTGGAAGTCACGGGGTGCAACAGTATTTTTGGGTCTAATTAATAATTTTGTCTAGTCTAATTAAGTTAGTCTCTTCTTAAAAATTACACATTTTTTATTTTTTATGCTAAAAGAAAATTCACCTTATATTAATTTTTAAGTTCAGTCCTATTTTTAAGTAAATTTTAAGGTTAAAAATTCCTTAATTTGTAAAAGTTAAAAACTAGTTTTCTTTTTAAAACCACGGAATTATGGGATAGAACAAAAATTTGAGAATATTGATGAAATATTGATTTTTGACAGTCTTTTTTCAAAGTACATTGTATGAAAGTAAAAAGAGATATAGCTTTCATTAATCTATTAGATAAGTGAAAAAGAAAAATAGAAATTTTTTGCCTGATTTTAATTCTTTGATAGAAGTATAGCCCTACCTCTTATTTATATTCAGTATTGAGCCTTAATTTTACCTATGATTTTCAATTACATTTGAAAAATTTGTATATTCAGGAGCATAGAAACGCATGCTGAAATTCAAGAATACATTTTATTATATCCGGAAATAATTTTTTCTTTTAGTTTTTAGCTCATTGCATTTATTTAAAATCTTCATCTACATCTATATATTAATTATTTTCTAAAATTAAAAGAAATTTTTGTATTTTCTATATGAGAATAGTTTCTCTCACAAATGTTTCATTTCTACTAGCAAGACATTAAATCATTTAATCATTACAACAGTGCCTTCATGGAATTTTTATTTATGTTCACATAAATTTTGTAATTTGAAATAAAATTTTTCAATTTAGAACAAAACGGATGAGTACGGGGTACGATTAAAAATTTTTATTTATTTTAAAAATTAACAATATTCAAAATTTCATTTCAATTTAAAATTTTTCATTTTTTAAATTAATTGAGTCTATCTTCTATCTTACAAGACCGTCCTTAAATGTGCAACATTTTATATTTCAAAATTTCATTGAAAAACTGAATTTTGAAATAATCGTACGTAGTATTTATTGTTTTTAATTTATAAAGAAATAGTAGATTTTTCTCAAAGGAAAACATACTGTAAATCTTAAAATCTTTTTCTAATGCTTTACGTCTTAAAATAAATCTTAAAATAATTTCTAATTTTACGTATTTAAATTTTACTTTTTGAATTTATCTCGTTATATAACCAACCATTATTAATTTTGCAAAATTTTATTTTCTTTTTTCAGCTCTCTTTATTAATGCGTGGTAGAATACCAACAGCACGTGATTTACAACGAACATTCCTTGGTATTATTCAATCAACTGGATTCCTAGTTACAAATGGTTGTTCTTATTTAATTTTTGCATGTATATTACGTAATCTATTGGGTGAATTTTATTTTTGGACAATTGCATATGCACCAGCATTTTTAGCTAGTTTATTTGGTATAATTGTAGAGAGACCGACTCGTAGACCATTATTATGTTTATATGTTGCAAATTTAGCTACCGAAACAATATGGCGTATGACTGTATCACGTAATTTAGTACAACCAATTAAATATGGTGAAACATTAATATTTGGTTTAAGCACATCAGTTTTATTATATTTATTTAAAAGAGGTTTACATAAAAATATAGCGAAAGATTCATTATTTAATGTATTAAAATTTGTTGTTGGAAATGATGAGGAGGGTAATAAAACAAATGATAGAATTGAAAATAATATACAAAATAATAACAATAATAGTAATAGTAGTTATCAAAATCAACGTAGAGCCCTTTTAAATAATATTAGTAATAATAATAGTAATCAAAATATCAATAACATTGATAACAATGAAAATAATGAAAATAATGAAAATGATCATAATGAAAATGATAATAATGATAATGATGATGATGATACTTATGCTGATGCTAATAATGGTGATAATGAAATAAATAGAGATATTGAATTAGAACAACTGCAGCAACAACACGAACAACAACAAGTAGAAAGAAGAAGAAGAGAATTAGATTCACCTAGTGATTTATTAAGACGTTATAACAATATTGGTTATGGCAATAATGATGATGATGAGGAAGATGATAATCAACAACAATTATCAAGAAATTCTAATAATAGAAATGGTTTAAATAAATTTCAATTAATATCAAATTTGCTTCAAATATATGAAAATATTTTGAAAATGGTTAAAACAATGCCAAAGCATAAATCATGTCCACATTCAAATGGTTGTCTGTACTATTCATTGTGTGGTGGTTTAAAATTGTTTGGAGTTGGCATTGGTGTTCAAGTTGCATTAAAATTGGCATTACAAATACAAAAAGTTATACAATTTAAATTAAAATTACGTAAAACAATTTTCAATGAAGGAACATTAAAATTAGGATTATTTTTAGGTGGATTCTCATTTTTATACAAAGTAAGTATGTACGTACATATATTTGAATGATAAATTTAAGTACAAAGTTTTTAAATGGCATCTCATATTAGCTTGAGATGCTACCAACGAAACGGGGGATTTTAAATTTCTCAACGCATTCTGATTTTCCTTATGGACATTGAAAAGCAATACTTGCTATAATTAAAAGAAAGTTAAAATTTTTTTCCATAAATTATACAATTCATAAATTATTCCGGGTTCGTATACATATATTATAATTATACTCTTATAAGCTGATGAATTTTCAATAGTTTTTATAAGTTGAAATCAATAATTTTTAATAATCAATTTGAACATTCGGAACTTATAAAAAACTTTAAGATATTAATAATCATCATTCATCTAAAATTTTCAGTCTTACCTCCTAGGGACGAAGACTTAAAACGAAGCGATTAAAAACTCAAATTGAAGCTAAAAAAAGCTGTCACTTTATACTTAAATTTCAATAATTTAAAGGCAAATAATTAACTATTTTTTTTATGAATACTCTATAGGCATCATCATGTAGCCTTAGGCATTTATTTGGAAAAGATGATCCATTATTTGCCCTGCCAGCCGGATTGATATCAAGTGTGGCATTTACAAAATATCCAGATGTTACAATTGCCTTATACGTTATGTGGAAGATGTTACAGGTACATACATGCATAAGTAGAAAGCAAAATTTTATAATTGTTCTCTGAAAAATAGCACAAAAATTTTAACCAGAATTTTTATTTTTTTTTTATTTTAAATTAACAGATTACATATAATATGGGTATTAAAGCAGGATATTTACCAAAAGTTCCTGGATTCACAATATTTTTATATTGTGCTAGTACAGCAACACTATTTCATGCAGCTGCTTTAGAACCTGAAACATTACGACCTAGTTATTGGAAATTTTTAAGTTCAAATTCCGGCGGACGGTAAGTTTCATTAAATTCATTGTAATGTACTGAAAAGCATAGATTTTACATAATTCCTTTGGTAGAATCTTAAGGAAACCTTAATTTATTTTAGTTAGTTTTGAAATTACATAGGATAGACGCTTTCAAACGCGTTTTATTTATAACTAATTCCATTTTTTTTTTTTTGAGAAAAACTTAGGCTAACAATTTACACAATATAATTTATTAAAATTCATTAAGCTTTATTACACTACTTACAATCAAACAACATTAAATTGTCACAATCATATATAATAACTAAAATTATTTAATTAATTAAATTAATAACTTATAATATGTTGTATATTGATGTTTTATTCATTTGTATTACAATTTATTTAATATAATTTCGATTTATAAAATAATTTCTTTTGTAAATATTTAATAAGAGTTCAAGAATAAAAAATATAAAACTTATTGCAAGGCCATAAACTAACATATAGTATGAAAAATAAAAATGTTTGAATTTTAAAAAAATATGTTCTTCATGACTGTTAGAAACTTGTAAAGAACCTTTAGCTTTTCTAGCCAAATAAGTAGCTAACCCATTCCAATAATTATTTATGCCACCATCATTGATACGCAAATGAAATAAATTAATTGCATCAACAAATGGACTTTCACTTTTAAACACATAAGTTAAAATATCTGATGTTAAACATAATTTAGATTGCATAAATTTTGTTGATTTGAAATCACTTGCAATATTCATATAGTAGAATGCCGCTTGATCACTAACAGTATATCCATAATCTGCATTTAAATTTTCGCGATTTTCTAAGAAAAAATCTTCTGTAACAGGAGTCAAATATTGTGCATATTGACAACCACCATCTGGTCTACTACATAGTTTTTCAATGATTGATGTTGGTGTTAAAATTTTTATATTTGAATGTTTTAGATCATTCCAATTTTTAATAGATTTTTCATAAACAGGTTTCATAAAAACACATGAAAGTTTAGCAAAATATAAATTTGTTAAAATTAAACTTAATGACATTGTTAAAATTTTTATTAATAATTGTTGCCTTACTTTCAATTTAAAATGCATTCCTGATTCTAAACCAAGTATTTCAACAAAACCAGTTAATAATGAATGACTTATATCAAAACGATTATATGTAATTTTTTCGATTATAATATTAGCAAGAGCTGTAATTATTATTGAAATTAATACTAATATCCATACACTGGTTTCAAATGGCAAAAAAAAATATAGTGATATATCAATTTTTGGTGGTAATGGTAACATTAAACATGTCACATCTGTTGCAATCGGATATGAAAAATCAAAATCTACTCCGAAATTTTTCATAGATAAAACTTCATAATAATAAAAAATATTCAAAGATATTTCACCTTGATTTAATTTTGAAAATGATTTTAGTATATGAGCAAATGTATTTGATCCATGAGAACATAATTTAGTATCATGTATAATTTCAAAAGTTCCATTAATAGAATCCATAAAAGCAATAAAAAATAATGTATTCGTTCCTGTTATCTTATCCATATTTTCTTTTTCATCATAATATTTGAAACTTCTTGGATAAAATGTTACAAATGGTGTTTCAAATTTGTATTTTTTAACATTTTTTATTTTATTCTCAAATAAAGGTTGTGATGAATTCAATTTATTGTTTAGTATCTTAATATTTGGAAATGGTGTATAAGTGTAATACAATAAATCAATATTTTTAAAAATGCCATGGGAAAAATATATACGAAAAATAATTGTGTTAATTAGACGATAACTCCAACATGATGTAAAAAATTCATTTAATTTTTCTTCAAAATTCTTAAAATGTTTTGAAATTACAATTAAATATGAAGTACGATTTTTTGCCAAATATTTTGCTACAAAACTTAAAATTGATTTTTCTAAATAATCCATTAATACTAACGATATAATCTGATTATTATAATATTGTTTGAAAGGTACTGGTATTATTAAATTTTTACTTTTTTTTCGATTTATACAAATTACTGGTAAATCTGGAATATATTTATTAGTATTTTTCAATAGGAAATGTACGGTATCAAGATCACTATCAGAAAAAAATATAGCCAAACTCTCAATATGTATATTACTTTGATGAATTTTCCAAATAATTTGTTTTAAACTTGATTCTAAATTATCTTGATAATTTGTTAACATAATATCTTTACCTTTATGCAATTTAGCATTAACAGTTAAAATAAATATATATAATAGTGATAAATGTAATTTTGAAAACATTATAAAATTTAAATACTTTAGAGATAAATATATTTTATTTGACATAAATCGCTCCCATTCGATTAGTAATCAAAATAGAATTTATATTTAGACTAAACTGAAAATTAATTTTTATAGACTTTAATTATATATTTTTTAATGTGTAATAAATATTATATTGACATTAAATATTCATGAAAATTTTTGTTTTGTGAAAAATTACAATATAAGAGAGAATATTATTCTTTGTCAAATGATATTATAATCGCTTTCATTGCTATGAATATGTATGTATGTACTTGTGTGTTTATTCAATTTATTATTTCTAATATCAAGGGCTTATAGGAAAAATCCTCTATCCAACATTTTAAAAATTTGGAAATTATTTAGAAAAAATTAGAAAAATTATTTGAATACTATTGATTACTATTTGAGTATTATAATTTACTACTACAAATGACAATTTGTAGTAGTATACTAGATTGTAAATGACAAATATGTAGATTATAAGGAAAACATTTTATTTCTTAAAAATATTGCTGTAAAATTACTAGTAATAAGAATGTAGTAGTTTACTCCTATTAATTGCGAAATATTTTAAAATTTATGCTTAGGCTTGATAGAGGATTTTCCCTGTAAGCCCTTGGATTATTCTAAAAAAAAAAAAAAAATTATTTAATATAATGTCAATGTAGAATTAAAATGAGACTTTTAATAGAAAATGTGGATTTACTTTTTTACTAGTGAATTATTTATTATCAGTAAGTAAACTCAAATTGTATCATTTAAACCTCGTTAACACTATTGTGTTCTCACATTTTAACTTAATGAATTTTTTTAATTTTTTTTCAATTTCAATATAATCTAACTAAATTGTTATTAATCGTAGTTATTGTTGCGATGGATTTAAATACAAAATTACTAATTAATTTTCTAAATTTTAATTTACTTTTAATTTTTGTATATCATCAAAATTATTTATTAAAATTTTAATTTTTAATAAAACCTTTTTTAAAACCTATTTTAAAACCTTTTTATTTTCTCTACAATATTATTAATTTTATATTTTCTTTTATTCTTTTAATATTTTCACAGGGTCAATCATATGGACAGGCGAGCATTTGATGTTTATGGCTTAAATTCACATGAGCAAGTTATGAAAATTCAGAAACTCACAAATACAGATAACTCAAAAGTTAGTTTTGCTTTAGGTTAAGAGATTTATAAATTATATGAATAAAAATTTAATTTAATTAAAAACAAAAACAAATAAATGAATAAAAATTGTTTAAAATTAGAAAAAAAAGCAAACAAAAACAAAAGAAATTCATAGAAGGGAAGGGAAATAAATCGTAAGCAAAATTAGGCCAAAGAATAATAAGACCGAAAAATAAAAAATTCTTAAAAAAAAACAAAATGAAATTTTGTAAAAAAAAATTTATTTTTTTTTTTTAATTTTGTGATTAAAAATTTTGACAATTATTTTGACATTTTTCAAAATAAAATAATAAATATAAAATATTTAAAAATAAAAAGATAATTGATTAAAAAAAAAAAACAAAAAAAAACTTTTTAAAATTATATTCCTAGATCTTAGTGCTACTTTTAGATATATAGTGATCCTTCTTTCCAAATTGAAAACGTTTAAAAATATAAAAAAAATAATAAGAAAAAATTAAACCAAAATATTTGTTATTCTGTTGAAGTTTTCGCAAAAACACTAAATTACCAGTTATAAAAAAAAAATTCGTGCCAAAAATAGCTTATTTTTTTTTCTTTTATTGATACAATCAATTCTACTTCATATAATTTGTTTTTTTTTTTTTTTTTTCGAAATCAAAATTGAATTTTGATATTAATTTCGACTTATAGGATCAATTAAGAGTTTCCAAATATTCCCATTTAGGAAAATTCATTTTGACTTGATCTTAAAATAAAATTTTTTGTTTTATTTTTAAACTATTAGTATTTATTTTAATTTTTATTTCAGTTTTTCTATAAAATCACATTTTGTTATAATGTAAATAAAAATTTGTTTTATTTTCAATAATTAAAAAAATTTAAAAATTAAAAAAATTAATGAATTTCTTTTTATTAATCGATAAGTACTATTAATTAGTATGGTGTGTTTTTAATAATTTTTAATAATAAATTATTTAAATAGAATTGAAATCCTTTTGATTTATTTAAATATCTTATATACAATAGATTTTAAAAAAATTGTTTTGTAAAATTGCGATTATAAATAATTTCCATTTTATGTAAAAAAACACAACCGCAAAATATGTTGCAAGAGAATTATTTTGTTATTTTTTGTTCTTTCTTATATATTGCATTTGTTAAAATTTTCACAGAATTCTTATAATTTTAATGCCACGCTTTACAAAATAAAATGCAATTAAATAATTATTTAATTAAATAATTAATTAATTTCTTTATTAAACTTTTATATTGTAATATAAAAATAAAAAAGATAAATAGTATTATTGAGTTAGTGATTCACATGTAAAATGTAATTTGTGTAGATACTAAAAAAATTTGGAAAAAGTAAATTTTGGTAACTTGTAACCATAACTATTTAGATAGTTTATTTTGAAAGTGATCTTCTATTTCAAATAAAAATTAAATATTGCTCCACTTGAGCTTAAAGTGACCAAAATTTTTGATTTCAATGGTAATGTCGATAATTTTGGTTATCGAGATTATAATTGCTTTGGAAATAAACTAAATTTAAAATTACAAATCGGCTTAGGTCACTTTCAAAAAAAATCATTTCCCTTGAATAAGTAAGAGAAATACTTATTTTTTAATACTTTAATATTTCAATTCAAAAAAAAAAACAAATTTTTTAATTAATTTATTTAAGAATTAAATCAATATATTTTTTATCATAGGTTTGATTGTAAAAACAGTATTTTAATGAAATGCCGCAATGATCAATTTATTAAAATTAAATTTATTAAAATCAATTTATTAATAAAACATAAAAACTGCATATAAGAATATTTTTCAGTTAGATTGAGTTCATATACACTTAATTCTGAAAATGTAGTGCTGTAGACTTGTAAACTTTGAAAGATATACTCTTATATTGCTAACATCAAACTGATAAATCAGAAATTGACATAGAATAAAAATTTAATGAAAAATTTATGAAGTGCTATCAAATAGTTTTGAAAGTAGAGCAATTTTCTTCCTTTTTTTTTTAATTTTCTACTTTAAGATAACGCTGACAGAAGTACAATTAAGCTTTAAAATCTGCCAACGTGAACTCAACTTTTTTTTCTTCTTAAATCTATTGCAGTTTTTAAAAAAATTTCTTTAATTTAAAAATATTAAAATAAATTCTTTTATTCTACTGTAACATTAAAATGTTAAACATCTAAAATAAATTTCTAGTTTAATAAAAACTATGAATAAATTTATTATAGTAAATTTTCTTTATTTAGAAATTGGGTTACCGTTTATTATAACGGTACTTATTGTAATGATTAAAATATATTTTAATTTATGATTTGAAAATTTATGAATTATATATGTATATTAATACTAAATTATAATAATTAAAATTATAAGACAAATTTATAAAAAAAAAAAAACAAAAACAAATAATTATACAAAATTAATTAAATTAATTAAAATCACACTAAAATGATTCAAAATCTTAAAAAATACAAAAATTTTATTTTAAACGTTTTCAATAAAGCTCGGGTTTAGCAAGTCATAGTTACATATTATATTATAAATAATATTATAACAAGTAGAATTAAAGCTTTTAAAAATTCCTTTTAAAATTTATATATATAATTTTAGTTTTGTTTTTATAATTATTTTTTTATATGATTGGGGTTTTGTTACGCAATATTTAAATTATAAAAAAAACAAAAAGTAAAAAAGATAAAAAAAAACCAAAAAAAAAAAACAAAGAAAATATAAAGAATAAAAATATACGAGAAATAATAATAATTATAATTTATTGTATTTTTATTTTATATAATCTTAGGTTATCATTTTAGAAAATGGTCTATTTTAGTAATTATGTAAGTATTATACAATGAAAAGCAATTTGTTAGATATCAGTCAACATTCCAAAGTTCTGAACATTTGATTATGAATAGTGTCATGTCACAATTAAATTGCATATTTTACTCTTTAGAAGAAAATTTAAGTTTTTAGGCAAGCATTTAAAATTTTAATTCTAATTGAAGAGAATTTTTGTTGGGCTTAGTTTAAACATTCCTTGTAGTTCCATATACAAACAAAATTTCATTATGATATCATGTTGTACAAAAAAAAAAACAAATTTCTTTCGTTCCTCTAGCATCTTTTAGTAAAAAATCTTTTAACTTCTTTGTGCTGTGTAAATATACCGGCAATTTCTTACAATTTTAATTTTTTGTTTTTGAAGATTTTGTTTTTATATTATTATCTTTTTTTTTTTAGCTCATTCTTGATTATTACGATGATTTCAAAATTAATTTAAATATTCATTCAGCTTTAATCTCATATTTTTTTTGTTGTCTTTTCCTTTGAAATGTTTAAAAAAAAAATAAAATGATTCCTTTTCATTTTCTTTAATACTTCAATGATTTTTTCTGTTATTTTTGTTCTTTTTTTTTCTCGCATTGCGTTTGAGTTTCGGAAAATATATATATTTTTATATAATATATATATATATATAAAAAAGGGGCTTTTCGAGGATTTAGTGAAATTTTGCAACTTTTAATAAAATTCTTTTTATCAAAGAGAATTATTGTTATTCATGGTTAATTTTTTATTTTTTGCTGAAAAATAATGAATATAAAAAGGAATTATGAATGCTTTTTTTTTTGCTTTTCGCTAAAATGTTAATAAATTTTTGATAATGATTTTAATAGCTCATATTGTGTGTGTATACAGTGCCGAATTCACCATATTGTGGGCTCTGTTTATACAAGGTGTTACAAAATTGAAAATTTATTTTTAATTTTAATTTAAAAAATTAATAATAAATATAATTTGATGTTAAATGTTTTAAAATAAACAAGATAATTTGGATGCCTACGAATTACATAAAAAATCAGGTTCCTTAACAATGAAATAATTGCTTTTAAATTGTATACATTTTTGGATATAAACTCTAATTAGTCGCCCATTTTTTATTTAGTTAGAGCGGTATTTTATGAAAAATTATTAATGGCAGAGTTTAATCAAAATCCACACATTTTACTTAATTCTTATTACTTAACACTGATTTAATGAGGTCGTTCAATGTCATGTTGCCTTTGAATTAAAAAATTTGCTCCTGTATGTATATTATGTAATAATATATTACATATACACAATATTATATATAACGCGGTGTATAATTTTATCGTAACTTAATGATTTTATACAACGTTTCAGTGAAAAGAAAATACTATGGTAAATTATTTCTTAAAAAGTTCTCTGTTAGATTTCATGTTACAATGAAAAACCTTAATTAAACTATTTAACTTATTTAATGAATAGATTAATTAAGCAGTAATTGGCTAAATTCTAAAATGCTTGAGTTTAGCTAAATAAAGTTTTGACTGTTAAAATTGTAATTTTAGTTGTTTCAAAACAACCTTAATATCATTTAAAATTTATGTTTCCAAAAATAGTAAAAAATGCAATCGCAACATTTTTATGTAAGTGAGTACCTGATTTGATTCTCATTTCACATCCCCCCCCCCACACACACAGCATCTTAATGGTTAAACTTAAATCTAATGTGCCTACGTTTACTTTAAAAATTGTGTTTCCATTATGCTGGCATTTATGAAAAATTCAAATTTTTCTTTATTAATATTAAAAAAATATTTTATTAATTTTAAATAAAGAAAAAAATAAAAGCAATTTATTAATATAAATGCAATTTAATCGCCTCAATACGACAGTCTCTTTTAACTCATAAAATATTCATAAATAATGAAAATGTCTTTAAGCTTAAAAAAATATTTTATTTTAAGAAATAATTTCGTCGCAATAACTGACATGATTTTTATATTCTTAAAATCAAAATGACCTTAAATCTATATAGACAATTTAGAAAAATGTGCCAAGACTATATGCACAAAATGAATCATGTGAAATATAATTAATTTTTAATAATTCTTTTAAATTTAAATTTTTAAAAAAATTTTTAGTTTTTATAAAATAAATTTAACCATTTTAAATTCTTCATTTATCTGCGCAAAATGATTAATTTCAATTATAAATTTGTTTAAAATTCAGCCAAGTTTTCTTAAAATTGCTAATAAAATTCTAAGCTCTGTGATAGCAAATAAATTTAGCAATGTATTTAGAAAATGAACAAAAATCTTTAATACGAAACAAAATTTAATTTTATAGTATTACAAATAATTCTATGGCATGTATGAAAATATTTCCAGTATATCTGATGAAAAGAGTTTAATATTGAAAAACCTATTCCATCATAAGTCTACAATGTTAAAGTCTGTTGATTTTGATTGAAAAATGATAAAAATATATTTTGTATAACCTGATATACTATTTTCCAACAGACACCCATTAGAAAAATTTTGAATTGGTAACAGAAAAACCACAAATTATTGTTGACAGCTTGCTATAATTATTGGCATCTTTAGAGTTACGATTATTGGTACTGTGCGAATATTTAGCAACAAAGAATAACAAAATCGCTATGAAAAGAACTATGTAGATGTTACCTATTCATATTTTTGCAGACAATTATGTATATTATCTCCATTAAGCTCAATTTAAAGCCTTTTGTTTTAAGCTCTTAGAATAGATCTCTTAGAGAAAAAATGTCGCTTCGCCAATAAAAGTGTTGTATTCAAAAAGTCAATTTTTTTAAAATTCTTGATTACAAAGAAACAATAAATTGAATAATTCAGTAATTAATTGCATTTTTTCCAAGTGTCATTAAAGAATTCTTAATTAAAATTTAATCAAAATTTTTTTCTCTGCCATAATATAAAAATACCAACTATAGGTACTTGTATGTGCAAATTAACCGTATAGTAAATAAACTGCTAATTGAATTTTTTCCATATTATTTATACATAAGCAAATATACAATTATATATGTAAATTTTCATATGTTTATATATATATATATTTA